TGAAGCAGATGATAGTTCTGGTTCAAGATTGAGCTCAGCCAGTGGCCATGTCACTGGCTGCTGTGTTTTTATGTTGCTTACAGATATGAAGATCTCTCTGTAGGTGTTTGTAAACTACAGTTGGGCAGGGCAGGCTTAGCTGCGGCACAGAAGCCACATGCATTCTGTGTGCTCAAGTCTGCCCTTTGAAGGAAGATGTCACATGTACCAGTATGCCATGGGCTCTTCAGTAGTTATTCAATCTTCCTATTTCATTACTAACTTCACTTTCTGAAGAAATTATTATGCTCATGGAGTCACACATGAAACATCCCTCTGGTGCTCTTAGTTACTGACATACTTGAAAGGTCCTGCAGAAGGGCATGCAATGCTGAGGTTAAGAGCTAGATGTAACAATACCTTCAAGTGCTATCCCATAGTGTCCTATCAAAGTGACCATTATGGGAAAGAGAAATCAGGAAGATCCTTCAGGTAGTTCAGTATCTATCCAGCTTGTCATGCAACTGCAGTAGTATTAGTACAGTTCCACAGCTTTTCCGAGGGACAGAAATCTATTTAAACCTTGCATAATCCTACTGACCAACCATTTACTACTTTGGGATTTCATTAAAGCTAGGTGAATCAATTTAATAAAAGGAACTTTTGATGTCAGGACATAATCAGATCCAAATGATACACTGCCTTCACTGTCTATTTAACTCTGCAATTTATTGTTGGTTTTGCAAGTCACACTAGATAATTTATAGACAGGAAAACAATAGAAGATGCAGATATATGGGAGAGACTTTAGAGTGTGTGCTATTCTCTGGCAGAAAGCTAAGCAAAAGCAGAGAAATTACTTCAGGGAAGATAGAAGTTTGTTAAAAAAAAAAAACAACCAACCAAACATAAAATCCAGTACCAAGAGAAATATACTTTGTCGTCATCACATGGCAAGGTCCTTATGAGCACCTAGCACCCTTGGTTTTGCAATCTCTAAAACTTACACTTTTTGGAATCAATATCCTTATCCCATGGAGCTGCTTGAACAAAGATGTCTCACAGGTTATTCAATTAAGCTAAAGAATTGACTAAGTCTAACTTTACTTCCAGTATAACAGATTGACAGAATAACTGCTATATCAGCACCAAAGCTGACTCAAGTTCACCAGTGTACAGCAATATTTTTCAAAAGTTTAGGAAGAGGAACAGATACTCATAGGTCCTTGGGGATGCCTGAATTATTCAGTGTCACCTTCTGTGTAAGACTGATGGTGTATCACTTTACTGCTTCTCTACTGAATCCAATCGTTAGTATTTGACTACAGCATACAGAAGTGTCACATCTTGATTTGAAGGTTTCAAGAGAGGAAGAATTTACCCCCTCCTGGCAAGTTTTCTCAGTCTTTATTTCTAATGTAAATTTACCCCACTTCAGCTTCCTGTTACAAGGTTTTTCATATGCTTTCTCCAGCAATAATACATAGTTGGTTTAGTACCAGCTAGACCCTGTACTACTGAAGTCTGAAATAAGTCTTCTTTTAAACAGCTGGAGCTCTTTCAGGTTCCCATTGGAAGGCAATTTTTTTTGTATTTTCCTAATTTGTGTGGCTCTTTTCCTATGCACACTCCAGGTTTTATGAGTTTCTCAGCTGTTAGAGAGTTTCTCATGTTATTCTGATATTAAACTAGTGAATCTTATGAACACAACCCTGCTCCTGTCATCACTGTATAACTGCCATATCCCACAGCAAGCTCATGTTCAGCTTTATTTCCATTAGGACGCTGAAATCCATTTCCGAATCACTGCCTTCCAGTTGTAGGGTTCTTAATGCCCATAAACTGTGCTTCACCTAACAATTAATAAAAAGACCAGATATGAAACTGGTTACAGTTACCTTTACCTATTATTTCACACCAAATCAATGCAAACTGGCCTAACAAAACCACCTGGCATATGACTAGGTTGATTAGAATCAAGTTACCCTTATTGGTTCAAGTGAGGCTGGTTTCACTTTTTCACATACAAAGTTAAAGATCTTTTGCCTCCCCTATCTCCACAAATAAAAATGAATATATACTTGTTAAAAAACATATTGCATGCTCCCGTAGCAATATTTTTACTATCATGGCCCAAATGCCTTCCATCACAGGCTACCTCTCACACACTCTGTTCTCCAGACTTGCAAGGGTCTTTTACAACACTTATTTTATCCCAGCTTTGGGCTCAAGAAATGACACAGATAAAAATACCGCACTGTCTCAGTAGCAGTCAACAACTTGATTCTAGTTTGTATGGTTCCAGCTCTAACAATCAACATCTGTGCCAAATCCAGCTATAGCATTAGCTAATTTGGACCACCAGAGCATGTCACTGAGGATGATAAATGGCTGTAAAGGGCAATAAATTTAGCAGGGTATCATATAACACAATGAATATATTCATATAGTATTTTCTGAAATAAAAAAAATGCCAAAAAAATCAAATCTCACTTTATACTGGGACAATACAGTATATTCCCTTTTCTCCTCTATTAGTTGAATCCCATATCAAGCTTTCTCAGTATTTGAACTTTACTATCAAGCAAGCTGGGCCAGGATTATCCAAGCCATCTTGCTTTGGCTTTCTTTGAGATAGTTTTCCTCCAGACTCAAGATTCCTTATTGCTCAAATACTTATTAGCAAGAGAAAGCTATGCGTCTCACACAGCTTTCTTATCTTATGCTAGTTAGGCGTGCTGGGTTTTAGTGTTTTAATTCTTTATGGTTGCTGTTAATCATCTTTCTTAGTTACTTGGGAAGGTTGGATGGTACTTCTGCATTCCCATGATGCCTGATTACATTATACTGCTTCTTTCTAAACAAAAGTGAACTGTTGAGTATTTCTTCCTTTCCTGAATCAATAGTGGCTTTCACTATCTTCTGCTAGCAAATAAGCTATACTGTTGTTAGGAATTGTTTTATGGCTGATATTCTTTAAAATGCCTTAGGCTGCAAGGTAGACGTTTCTTTTGCTCCCTCCTAAGTATTTCCTTTCTTTATGTTTCCAGTCGCTAATTTACGTAATTGCTATCTCCTGCCATTTTATTCTCCTCTTCCCCATTTCTTTGTTATATTGTTTTATGGCTACATTTACTTCCTCACTTAATAAAGAGGTGCAGCTAACTGAAGATATCCTTATTCACAATTATGAAACTGCAGATTTTAATAATCTAGTAAACTTTCCCAGAATAATTTACAGTTTTCATTCACATTTCCCTGCCTAAATCTCACAATTTACGTCCAAGTTTATCTTCCCAACCACTTTCATTCATAATTTTCCTGGTTGCTTTGCAAAATAAACCATTTGAGAGCACCAAATACATGACTAGACAAAACCACAGTAAACATAATGGAAAGTAAATCTTGTGTCTTTGCTTGGGCCGGTCAGAACCAGGATGGAAAGCTCCCGGGTTAACATCCTAACAAGAAAAACTGAGATTATTTACAATGTTGTTTCAGAATGTCCTGGATTAAGGTTCAGTTCCTCTTCCAATTTATTCTAATTGCTTTGTCATTAGCAGGAGTTACTAGGCTTGCCCTGGCAGTCTCTATTCTAGGAATTAACCAGCTCTACTCAGCTTGAAAATTGGAAATCTGCTATAGGTGCTATTACCAAAGAAGTAAGAGGGTACAGGGAAAATGAAATTAAAAAGGCTAGAAGTTCAAAGCAGCGCTAAAATACTGTGTACTTACTCCTATTAAACCTTTAAGATGCTTGTGCTTTATTAACAGTATTGATGATTAAATGTGCTGTTAATAAGCCGTGCTGGAATGGGGAGCCCTGGAGGAAAACAATAATGCATAGCATTAGCTTGCAAGATTTTTTTGGACTAACTTGGTGAAGGATGCAAAATGTGTAAGGTACCCAAAAAAATAAGAACTGATGAATGAAGTTGCCTAGTTGATGCTTTTCCTTCCTGATAAATGCTGCTGTCTGAGAATTATAGAGAAGCAAAGAGCAAGTGTTCCTGATGACACAAATAATAATTCGAAGTTTGTTCAAATTGAAAGGGCTAATGCTTATGAGATCAGACTCCTTATTACAATTGAGAGTTTATTTAGCAAAGACATGGTATGAATATAAAGCTAATTCTTGGTAGGCTTTTTGTTGTTTGAAGATGAGTATGATAACACACAACACGAGGAGCATCTAACCATGTATAAACACAAATCCTAAATAGCTTTTTTCTTTTTCTTCCTTTTTTTTTTTTTTTTGAATCATAGCTACTGCAATAGCTAGAAAGAAGTGTGGGGTGGGGATGAGGAGAGAGAAGGGAAAGAAAAAGGTCTGGGATATGGTTTAGTGCATGGTGTCCCTGCCCATGGCAGAGGGGTTGGAACTTGATGATCTTAAGGTCCTTTCCAACCCAAACTATTCTATGATTCTATGAAGAGTTTTCTTACTAAATATAATACGAACTTTGCTACAGCATTATAGCTACTCACTTAATTTTAGCACTGCTCTTTATGAAGAAAATAAAATAGAAAACAGGTAAAAATGGCTGGTAGCAGGGAAAAACTAAAAATATATTAGAGGGAAATCAAGAGGTTTTGGTATGCAAAATGCAGGTGTCTGTTAGAAGGAAAATGTCAATTGTTAACATTAAGAAAAGACTTATTCATCCCAGGCACGCCTGCAGTTATACTGTTACTTAAGGCAATATAACTGATGCAAGGGATGAGTTTTGTTTTTTATGTTTTACAGCAGAAATAATTCCAGTACAGGAATTAAAGGAGTGGATTTTTTTTCCACCAAACCAGCCTCCTCTTATTAACTCATTTTTAAGTTTGAAAACTTGGATGAGAAAAGGTTCAGCTATTTCAGACTTTACTGGCTTCTTTAGCTGCAAAAACTAACATAAAGGATTAGTCTCAACTTTCCAGACTAAATTAAAACCCATGGTGTCCTATATCCAGTGGAGTTCAATACAGTTATCTTGAAAACATGATGATGAAATAATACTGCAGCTATTTCTCAGTTATGGTGAAACCAAGAACGATTTATTAAAAAAGAACATTTAACTGGGGCAGGGAATAGAAATAGCTACTGAGTATCTTACTGCAGAAAAAGATCTGGAACATGAATGATTTGGTGCAGCAGATTTGGTTTTCTGTGCTGTTGGCAATTCTTTTTTTAAAATCAGGTCTTTTTTTTAAAAAAAAGAAACATTAATAAGTGGCATATGTGGAGATTGTACACTGCAGCTTGAAAACAATGTGCTTTTTAAGAGTAGTATTTGACATCCTATGTATATTGTTTTCTTAACATACAAAAGATTTGTCAAATTGGAGTGGCTGTATTTGATCTCATATTTACATTTCTCTATAACTGAACACAAAATGAGAGCCATCATGTTGTCATCATTCTCTAATTCACTTCCTTGGCTTTTTTAATTTATTTTTTGTTTATGCTGTTCCTTTACATATTCTTTTAAATCATGGGGAAAATTGAGCATAAATGATTGATTTTTTACTTTTTTTTTTCCTTGGAAAGTCTCTCTTCTACTTCAGAAACATAGTTTATATATACCAAGAAAAGGTACTATAGATGACTACACAACACTTGTTCTCTACCCAGACTAATATAGATTTATCCTTACAGAAACTTTGTATTCATCTTTAAAGTACACATTTGAAACCTCTAAGAAAAAGAAAATCTCTATGATGGTGGTCAAACATTGCAATAGGTTGCTCAGAGAGGTTTTGGACACTCTATCCATTTAACACTTTAGTGATATGACCCTGAACAACTTGAAGTATCTTTACAAAGTAGCCTAGCTTTGAGCCGAGGGTTGGACAAACCTCCAAGGGTACTTTCCAACTTAAGTTATACTCTGTTACATATGAAAATAAGCAAATGCATGTTAAAGTATTCTCTTTTCCCCTCTTAAGAATCAAAACCAAAACAGATATTTTTAATGGTCTCCTGCTTAACATATCCCAATACAAAGGTTTCTGTCAGGACCACTTGCTTCTCCAATAGCACCAGTGAAAGACGTCTATAGTTCCAGGAGCAACAGCACATCAAATCTTGATTTGAGTCCTATTGGCAAATGTGCAGCAGTGTACTCTTGTGCTAGGATCCGGCAGTGTGGATCCACTCGTGATGATGTCTGGAGTGACTGTGAAGCTTGGCAAGGTCAGGACTAACAGAAGTGCAATGAGAGTTCACGTGGAAGGCAGGGCTGCTGCTGAAAGCGTGAAATATGCATGGTGTTTCTTTGAGTGGAGGATTGTTTTTCCATAAGACTGGCCACAGAGGCATCTCCCCCTTGACAGAAATGCTGTTCTTCAGTACGTGAAATAATTATGAGATGAATATGAATTGAAAGTGCACTTCCTCTTGACCTACTTCCCAGGCAGGGAAGCACAGCTTGATGCCCTCCTGTTTGGGAAAGGTAAAATTATCTCTCCACATTCCCTAGGCTCTGCATAAGCCTCTATTGTTTGGTACCAACCACATGGCTAATTATCATACCTACTATGCAGTCTCTTTTAATTATTTCCTTCCATCTCTTGTCAACACCCAGGCTGACTAACCAAACTGGTTTCTTTGGAGAAGTGTACCTGTTTACCCCATCAATAAGTACACCTCTTTTTTTGTTTGTACTGTGAAGGTAAACATTCAGAATGATAGCGTAAACTGCCTTTGGGAAAGTTACTGATCATTCCGAGGTGCCCCAAGACTCTGTGCATCTGAATCCTGCCTTGCTAAGTGAATAGACCCTTCTTTATTCACAGGGCTGCAGGATGTATTTTGTTACCTCACCAAAAAATCAATTACGTGTTCCATTAATGCTGGTGGAGTCTGGCTGGGACCCCAAGCCTTTATGTATAAGTCCCACAGCACCTCAAGGCCCAGAACAGGACAGTAATGCCACTTCTGTGATAATCTACTTGCATGAAGAACCTAAGCTCCAGAATTAGTGCTTTTGCTACGTGAACTCTTCCTGCGGCTCTCATTCTGGTGTCCGTAAGAGAGTACAGAGGATGCCCCAGCACAGCTCTTGCTGGCACTTCAAAGCCACCAACTGTGCTGGCATTCTGAGAACTGCTGAGAGGCTTTGTTTGGTTTGGTCTTGGGAGTCCTTGGATAGACAGTTGATGATTATTGCAGGTCATTTCCTCCTCCTATGGAGTCACTCCATGGCTCTTCTATCAAAAGTAACTGAAAAGGGAGAAGCTGCTGGGATTTTCTGCCCTGGGTAAGCTTCTCCACAAGGATAAAAGAAAAGTAAAAAGAGAAAAGTGTAAAAAAGAAATCTAGAGTCAGTTCCTGATTTTCTACTAACTGTCATAATTGATGTTTTGCTGTAGCAGGGTATTACTGCATCCAGGCTGTGACAGCAAGCACCAAAAGTATAAAGGAGAAGAGAAAGCTCAGAGAGAAAGCAGGCTGTGGAGATGCCTAAATTAGCAGTGAGCTAAGTCAGTAAGTCTGTGCAGCCCCACATAGCGTCATGCAGCTGTACCAAGTTGGGCTGGAAGCAGTAGAGAGCAGGGTGTTGCTAAATGATTGCCTCAGTTAATCCATAACCTGAATAAACCACCCAGAGATAAGCAAGAGATGGTGTGTAAATTGACAGAACAAGATCTCAGTTCCAGCTTCACAGGCAGAAGTTTGTAGGTCACAGTGAAGAAAATTTATGCTAGGGAAGAATCTAATCACGGCTTCTGTTCTTTCCCCATGCATACAACATGAAAGATAATGCCTTTTGCTGCAAACTTCACCCAGGAAGAATTGTGAATCAGGGCACATGAATCACCTGCCAAACCCTCAAGTGCGTCAGTGATAAGAGGATACAAATTCAAAAGTGCAGGTGCCATATCAGCAGCTGGAGTGAAGCTGGCAGCACGGCTAGAGACAATGACCATTTCTGAATTCCTTCCTGGCCACAGTTTGAATTGTTCATCTCATGTTCTACATTAAGATATGATGCATCTGAGTGATGCTACCTCTATGAGACATTAGGATGTCCACCAGAGTTGTCTTGCTTGTCAGTGGTGATAATTTCATTCAGTTTGAGCATCCGTAGTTGCTGCTGTAATCTTAGACATCACTAACTAAACTTTCCATAACTACTAGGCGTGTCCAGTAATCAATTCTAGATTTATCTAATCTAATGTGGGTTTGGAGGTTTTTGTGTGTGTTGGGGGGTTTCTTCTCTTTCTTTTTTTTTCCTCGAATGCACTGATATAACACCCCCCCCCCCCGTAGTTCTGTTGTTAGCAAGGATACTTCATAGGGAAACTCCTTGATGAGGTTAATTCACAGGAAACTGTTTCAAAGGCATTGTTTTGGTCGTCAAAGCAAGCACGGCTTCAGCTGAACTGGGCTCTGATGTTCTTAATTTATTTCTGCAGCCTAATTAAATGTATCTTTCTTAATTAATCACACTAGAGAAGATTGCCTCACATGCATTTAAACCCAGTCTGACTTGCAGAAATACTGAGTGTGCCAAATCCACCAAAGCCAATAGGAGTTATTAATCGGTGCTCCTGGACAGACACCCACAGCCCAGCACTGCCCACTAAATGTCTGCTCCTATTTCCCCAGGGAGGTCAGTGGAAGCTTCTTCCACACAGCTTTCAACAGAAACACAGGTGTCCATTGAGTCAGGTACACATCAAACAGGTCCTTGGCTGAAGCTAGTTGCAGCCAAAAGGCCATTCCACAGCCATTTGCTTAAATGTTGCTTTGGGTTCCCCAATGCAAAGCACTTCCTGTGACACTTTAGATATATCAGCATAATGAAGCTCAGTTTATTTCCATCTACCTCCTTCAACTGACTAGAAAGGCCTCAGAGTGTATAATTTTCAGATAGCAGTATTTTGCTGCACTGTAGCCTGGAAGAGCTGCCTAAGCAAAGTATTGTGGCTGAGGAGTTCCCACTGGTTATACTAGAAGTTCCAGCCCTGTTGAGCTCATTAAGAGGAACAACACTTAGGTTAATGGTTAGGAAGACCACTACTAATTTGGGAGTGGAAGATCTATTGGTCAGTTATTGCTTTCATGAGTCTGAGACAGAATGTTGGACTGGATGGGTAACAACAACAAGGTCTGATGCACCCAACTGCTGTTATCAGAGACAAACCCGTGCAAGGCACCTTGGCTCCACTAGCTAGGAAGGAGCCAGCAATCTGATCTTCCTCTCTATACATACTTGCTGTTTGCAGGGCATGCTTTCAGCCACATGAACTTTCTTAGCAGCCCATGAATACTTACTAACTCATTTCTAGTTAATAATCTAGAAAGCCCTCAACATTTTTTCAAGCATCAAACCCCATTCTTTAGGACACTTGAACAGTCTGGTTTTGAGATGCTGTTCCCTAAGCTGTCATCTATGTCTTAGGGTAGAAAGTGATGGTATGTGTTCCTTCTGCTGCCACATCCGAGGCAAGCAGCCCTTCACAGTTTAAGGCTATACAGAAACACTCTCTTCAGAGCACAATTGCCCTGATCATTGATTTAAAAATTGAAACAGAAGAATGAAGTCTATGCTTGCTTACATTCTGCACACTATCAGTAAATGAGGTTGCACAGGATTTAGGCCAAGGCCAGTTTTATTTCTAAGCCACTATCTGACATTTAGTATTGCTTTTACATAAAACTGAACAGCCACAGCAACAGTTGCATGAGAAACAAAGCTCAAGACATAATACTGCCCAAACCCTACTGCAGTGTCTTTCCTGGGGTGTGAGGAAGAGGAATTTAAGACTTTAGAAGACTACTGTTGACATCTAAGGTATGTAGTGTTAATGCAGGTGAGACTGTTTTACCTGAAAAGAAACTTTACTGGAAGAGTGTGTCAGGTGGTTGGTATTCAATATACAAAAGAATACAACCTATGGCTAGGATTAAACAAAAGCAGCCATTAAAAAAATATACAGCAAATTTAGTAAGAGCCACTTTTACATGCATGACCAACTTCTGAAGTAGTTCTTTCTACAGAGCTTCCCCTCCTGGGCTTTTTTGTAAACATTGCTTGCTATTATCTTCCAGTCACAACTTAGTCCAGGGCCTTGTGTTTTGTTTTCATACAATATAAAAGCACTAAGTTAACTCTAAATCAGGTGATTAATAGAGGGAAAAGGAGGGAGAGTGCACTCTACAGTTACCGCGTATTTCTTTGACTGTGTGGATTCCTGTGGCACTTTATCTTAGTAAGTTATATCAGGCATCTTTGAAGACCAAACAATTATGCTTTCCGAACTCTTTGCCCTTAGACTTTGATGCCTGCTCTGCAGCTGGTCAGAGAGGTTTCCAAATCATACAACATGCTTTTGCAACAGCTCCTAACCTAGGGCTCTACCTAGAAAGCATATAACCCCTTTTAGTCATCGTTATATCTAAATTCATAATCCACTGGAAATAATTGCTAGCATATTAGCAGAGGCATAGCATAACTGATTGCACTGCAAAACTTCTTGCTACCATCTTAACAACGGAGCAACCTTTTGCATTTACAACTGAGCACCACCTGCTGGTTATCTCATCTAATTTGGCCTATTTTTCCTGCCACCCTCCTAGAAGTAAATCCTGGGAGAAGATCCTAGGTTTTAGAAAGACATACTGGTGTAGAAGTTACAGCTGGGTGCTGTGACATGGGACCTGAGGTGTCAAAGCGGAGCTTTTGAACTCAGGTAGGGGTAGCTGAGGTGGCTGGAACATCCACCAGAGTGAGACAGAGCTGCAACAGCCCTTCCCACTGCATCCACTCCCCACTCAGCCTCAGGCACCAACACAAAGCAACTTGCAAATAAAAAGCAAAAGCAGCAGGGATCCTTTCCTTTTCTGTTGTATTCCTGCATGCCTCATCCTTCACATTTTAACTGATTTCTCCTAAATGAGTTTGCCTTCCTTTCTCCAGCACCCCACAGTTGAAATGCAAGTTGCAGATTGTCTCATCTAATTCCTCTGTTGTGCCAGTGACCTGGTGATCTCAGTTTAGCTTTAACCACGTAATTCAGTTTGCCAAGAGGAACACACCTGTTACCCTACTATTATGATCCTGGCACTTCAATTCTGCCCCTTTGATCTTACAAAGTATCTTAATGGAGATGCTTTCAGAGCCACACTACTGGAGTATAATTTAATTTAACATTGTGAACATAAGCTGAGATGGCAAAAGATAAGTGTTTTAACTGTTTAACTTTCATTGAACCCAGTGGAAGTTGGGCAGGGAAGTCACAGTACCATTTTTTAGAAATGGGAGATACAGCTACCAGCTGTTTCAATTCTGATCTCTGCCCAACAGAAATTCATCATTTATGTTTAACATACTCATATACCATTTTTATAGCCCATTATATTACTGCCTTGAATTCAGTATGATTAGCTGCTGCAGCACCATCAAGCTGCACTGAAGAATGGAAAGAAAAAGGAAAACCAACCTCATCCTATGAATACTTTTGTCAACATATCAAGCTATAAACCCAAACAACAGGATGACCCCACCCTTGAAATTCCTCCAGGAGGGCAAGGGAAAGCCAAACTCAATATTTCTAATTACCAAGGAAAACCTTCCACTATATAACCACCTTAAATCTCCTCCCAGAGCTTTACTGTACATCCTGAGGCAAGGCTTTGGCCCAGCTTTCAATTAAATTATTAATAGGAACAATAGAGTCAGAGTTTCCCAACTCGGATTCCTCCAGTTGCTAAACCCATGTAAAGCAACACGATACTAGATATACGCTGATTTCAGATTTTCCTCCTGTACCCGGGGTTTTGTAAGGATGTTGTGTTGGATCTTTCCTTTGTTCCATATGTGGGAAGGGTTTCCTTAGTGACCCAGTTAGCTATGTCCATTGGCCCCAGTGCTCTCTAGCGACAACACCTTGCCTGTGAATGGTGGGTTCCCTACAAGAGCTGAGCCTCTGTAGGGGCTTAACTACACTAATTGCAGCAGCTGCCATAACTGCTTAGCCTGGGTACTTCCAACTTATTGTACAGAGGCTGTAAGTTGCCTACTCCAGTAAACAGGGCATAGCTGGGACACACTACCCCGCTTGAGGATGGTGTGGGAGAACGGATGCTCTGTGCCAGCTGCTGTTCCCTTGGCTATCAGAAGGCTCTAGAAGAGGGGAATGAACACCCGAAGCACATGCCACAGGGCTATGTAGGGGAAAGAGGGCAAGTAACTCAGCGAGCATCAGCGAGAAGGCTGTCCTGGGGACTTTAAGGAGACCAGCAGGTTTATACACACC